CAAAATCGTTACTAGATTTTTGTGTTATAGTTACGATGTAGCAGCTATAAGGTAAAAATATTGTAGCATTATAAATCCCACAAAATTTTTCAGAATCGTGGTTATCTTGAGATAACATCGTTACTATATCGTAACAGCATTGTCAAAAATTTATAAGTTTCTGTAAAGAATGATGAGTATATATTATTCAAATATTTATACTTGCAGTAGTATATCTATGTTTTATTTTTTCAATTTTTAAAATTTTATTTCTTCAAATATTTCTTACTACTTGCAATAGTATATCTCACTCGTAAGGGCCTTATCTTTTTGATTTGTGATAACAAATTAAGAGCCTCCACTTAGTGAATGTGTAACTACTATAAGCTGTAGTAATAGAAGTACACTTTAAGACTCAGGAGGATGTAGTGCTTTTTTTGTCTAATGGTTTTGTAGACAATGTGGTAGCAAATGCCCTTCTTAAACTATGTGGTGTATATATTTTCAAAGTTCATTCTTCTAATTGGATTTATACTATATGAATTTAATATACCTAATTTTTTTTTAAAATTACTATCAGGTTCTAAAATAATCTACTGATGACCAAAATAAAGTCATAAACACTGGAAGTTGCCAATACCCGTAGACATTTGCCAAAGAAGTTGTTCATGTTTGGTAGACAAAGTTTTCGAAAGATCTCCAATCAATTTTATGAAGAAAAAAGGTATTTTGTTAAAAATACAAATACTTAATGACATTTGGGCATACAAATTTATAATCCTATACATATGTATTTTGTTCTGATTATATAATTCTTCCATAGATTTCATAGATTAAGATCTTTACAACAAGAGATGGAAAAGATATATCAATAAAAGATGGGTCTGGATATATATACATATTTACAGGTATATATTATAAAGTTTTACTAATTTGTTAATTGCTTATATAAAAAGATATTTTCTAACTCATATTGTGTATAGTCATAGATGCTAAAAACATAGAAAACAAATATTATAAAGTTGGAAGATCAAAGGATGTAGAGAAACCACATGAGCAGTAGAGAACGTGATTATACAATTAATCACATAGAAAAATTTCCCACTATCTACCAATGCAAATATAGCCTCAGGGTGGAGCGATTAATCCACCTTGAGCTTGCAGATGCCAAGGTTTCTTTGCAACAACCTGGTTGCAAAGAAACCCATTAGTGGTTTGAGGGAGAACTAGATGATATTAAAGTTCATCCAACAGTCTAAATGACAATAACGAGAAGTCATCAATAAATGGATCAATTTTTGTGATAATGTATACGGTCTTGCATGATAATTAATAAACTATCGTTTAAAAATTTTTTAAATTCTTGAGTATTATTTTTGAATTATTAATAATTAATATACCTCCCAAAAAACCTTTAAACAAACTACTAAAGTAGAGAACTTGAAAACCTGATAGCTTTTTCACGAATATTAAGATATCGATCTAATTCAATTGTTTGCAATAGTTCCAGCTGTTCAATCGACTTCTTTTTTAAGAATATTGGTTCTAAAATACTATTTATGTTTTTAATATGTAATTGTCGACCAGAAATGTAAGGCATTTTCATAATAAATAAAAAGCCTGATCATTAATACTTGAATTCGGATTTACAGCTGTTTTCATAGTTCCTGGAGCACCTGATAAAAATTAGCCGAATGATTTTTCGGCCGATCCAGTTAAGTTATTGATTTCGGCACGATCGGTATATAAAAAATATATGTCTAAATTCGGTCAAATTTTTAATATTGTTACTGTATACGTAATTCTTAATTGCTATGATACCTATGTCATCAAAAATTATCACCCATATTTAATTATATTTAATTGATACTAAACGAAGACTAATGTAATTCATATAAGTACTATTTAGGTTTTTCTTTCATTAAGAGTTAAGATATTTTGTTTGAGAACGTGGTTTTCCTGAAAACGACGTAAATTTTTCAATACAGCCATATCTTTGAAAATGCACGAGAACCCGATTTATGGATGACCTGCTAACACTTAAGTGGTTTGCAATTTTTCGAATTGATAAGTCTTCTAAAAAAAATTTTCAATAATTTGCCAGCAAATGCGTTTTGAAGGTATCATATTTTTTAAATTCGACAAGTCACCTGATTTTAAATTACGTATAATATCAATTTTTATTGAATTTATTATGCCGATATAATAACTTAACCGGGTCGGCCAAAAAATCATTCGGCTAACTTTTTTCAGGTGTCCCAGGAATTATGAAAACAGCTGTAAATATGCAGGAACATTACCTTGTCCACTCAAGAATCTGTTTCAGATATAGTGATAATACCAGATATCATTGTTAAATCCAGATCTAACAACTAACTCCGGATCCAAAATTATTTGTTGATTTATCAATTAAATATTTACGAAAAAAAAATAATTCAAGAGAAAATAAATGAAGCTACATTTTTTTTTAAAAAATCCGACTTTATAATATTTATTTGAAGGGTAATTAATGCTTTTAATATTATTTGTTGAATTATACTATTTCGAGTCTTCAGACAATTTATTTTAAAAAATTCATTTATTAATATTTGTATAGTAGAAATAAATAGCATATCTTGGAAATTTTTTATACCCGAAATAAGCTGTATACTACCTGAAAACAAGGCTAAGGTAAAACTATTAGGGTTAGATTTATATAACACATACAAATAGTCTCTACATAAGAGTAAAAGAAGACTCATTTGCAGAGATGTCACGTTACAATGTCCAATTGGTTTCAATTTTTTTTGTACATATGTCCAATTGAAATTGGACATATGTCCAAAAAATTGAAACCAATTGGACATTGTAACGTGACATCTCTGCTCATTTGAGCCCCAGTATTGCTCCTACAAGGCCCAAGCTCTAAATACTCGGATCGGACCAAATCTCACCACACTCGATCGACGCCTTCCATTTCAGCAGTTTTGGAGTTTTGGTCTTGCTATATTGTAGATTTCAGTGTTTGTTAATTATATTGAGTTATTTAGTCACCACATTTCCACTGGTCAAATAATTAAAGCAACAATATCGATTATGGCAGAAATCGATACAAAGTACGTAGAGTGTCAGGGTGGTAATTCAAATACTGTAAGTAATCAAAACTATATCAGCAATATTAGTAATTTATTAGTATATAAATGGATTTTTATCATTGGAATTAAATAATAAATTTTTTACTTTAATTACAAAAGAAAAAAAAAAGGCCAAAAGATTCACTGGAATATTGTGCTTTTTATAATTTTTTTTTTTTTTTTTGAGTGAAAACTCTTCATAAAATCCATTTTTCTAAAAGTTATGTTAGATTTTTTGCAAAAGTTCTAATAAAATTTTTAGTTCCTACTTATTGACATAATTTTTTTAATAAAATTTATATATTATAATCAGTCGAATATTCAAAACTAAAAATCTTCAAGCATGACTTTATTTTCTGTCAGTCAGTGAAAATTTTTAATGAGTTGAATCGTTTTGAAACCGATGAATTTAATAACCATGTCATTATTAATTTTAATACTGTCGTAAAATCATTTCAAAAATCAATTTATTGCTCACTTAAAAAAATTTCGCTAAAAAAAATTTCGTTACTAACTTATCAAGAAAAACTTATTTTGTGAACAGAAAGTAGCTTCACGATAAGAACAAATTTCAGAAATCAGATAACTTGTTAGAACAGTAACGTTAAAGTGGTTTATAATTTCTTATAAAATTTTTTTTTTTGGATATACCTACGATTTTAATATTAAATCTGATTATAAATTAAGGTATTGTTACATTTACTTAAAATCTTGCACTTATTTTTGTTTAATTTTCACGTCTTTAGAAACTCGACCCAATGATACTATATGTATAAAATGACACGTATGATTTTATAGCTTCCTTTTTAGTTTGTATAACCTTCAAGATTTTATATCATTCTCAATATGTCGTGCTTTACTTACCACTCATTCTCATTCTGTGCATTTACTTTGTTTTTTTTATATATGTTCATTACGATGATATATCCAGTTAAGCTTACCGGGAAAGAACTCAACAACGACGAAAAATATCGAACAACGAAAAACTATTCTAAAGTTATAAATTGGCAAATGGAATATTTAAAGTTTCATAAGTAAAAGCGGTAATAATTTTTCAAAAAGAAATTTACTCTATGTGACTAAAAAATTATTAGCAAGATTACTGTCACGTTGTTTCCTGGACTACTGTGCATTGCATAACTTAACTGTTTTACACTCACTTAGCTAAACACGAAGCTGTCATTTCGTACAGGTGTTTCTATTAAATGCCACACAGAATTTCATGTAAGAAGAACTTAGGCCAAAATCTCTCTTGAATATTCACCATATATATTTAATTACTAATAATTACATCAATGTTATAGCGATTTGCAAAAAGATATGACCCCATGATTTTTGTAAGATGAACAAGAAAAATTATGAGGTTCTTAATTGTTCATTAATTCATATTTTCGATCATTTATATTTATATTTATTTCAAATTACTAAGATTCTTAAAATCTATAGAATCTCTGACTTTCACATAACATTGTGATATACAGAGGTCACATCTTTTTGCAAAGCGCTCAACTTAGAATTGATTCTGAATGTACAATCACAAATGCTAATTCTGGCTTCAACACCATTCGTCTCCGATGTAGAATCTTGTATGTATTGTATTATTATTTTTTTTCCTCACTTCTTTTCAAGTCTCAATTCTTTACCTTTTGTCTCATCAAAAATTCACCATTGCCCTTAATAATTATGTTCCTCTTACATTTCACCACGAAATTATTCGCGTCCTTGCTCTACAAAAATCCATCATACTTGTCATATTCATCAGGTTTCACCGGGCATTAACTTGGATGCCGTTATGCTGTTTTACGATCAAGATCTGTCTGTCTCTGGCTTTTCACAACCTTCAGATTTTTTACAATAAACTAGACTTTGTTTCTCATCATCATTTACTCCACTTCCATTCTCATGTCAGAATTTAAGATTGCATTGTCCATTCAATTTGACGCCTTCAGCATGTTCATTCCTTCCGATTTGTCACAAGATCCATGGTTCACTCGTATGATCATGTCAATTGATCCTTGATAATAACCGAATGGTTTATTTCCATTCTTTTCAATTTTTGATTCCTTATTTATAGCCATGCTGAAATTTGGAACTATTATTTCGTTTTTTTTTTTTTAGCATTAGATTTGATATTTAAAGAGAAACATTTAATTTATCAGGACTTATATTTTTAAATCAAGCAACCAAATTTCAGCATCAGCCGCGACACTAACTATTATCCCTTAATCCGTATGTGAATTCAGGGCAAATTTGCCCAAATTTGTAAAATAGATTTTATCTTATTTAAAGTATAATAAATGTTACAAATAAATTAAAAACTAAATATTTAAATAAATTTATATATTTTTATTATAAAGACAATTACTATTTGCACATGGGGTGTTTAAACACGTAGTTACACAAACTAAATAGAAAAGCCAATCAAAATATAAATTAAATACAGTATAAAAATCATTTTTTGTACAATAAAAATAAAGAAAAAATAAAAAATTAATTATATCTAAAAATTTTGTTTATGAAACCATCTTTTGAGATCTAAGAAAAAAAATTACGTGTAAAATTTTACTATATACTATGTTTTTTACTAACTATAATCTCTAATTCTAACCCTAATATTAATTAAAATATTTAATGTTTACTTATATTTTTTAATAAAAATTAATTATAAATCATACCTGTGTTTCATACACCTCATGTATATTTAATAATTTTCTATTATAAAAATCTTGAAAATAATTGGGGCTTACTTTAGAGCAATAAAGAGGTACATTATATATAATATACAAAACTGATTTTGAAAAATTACTTTATTATTATTATAAAAATTTATTAATTTACATGTAGTGTTTATATATAAATACTAATTTATTGATTTATAAACTTGCCAATCAACCCAATTTTTATGAAAGAAAATTGAACTTTTGCTTATAGTTAGAGTAAGAGTAAGTTTGGAATTGGAGTAAGAGCAGTTTATACTAAAATTTCACCAAGAAATTTTTTTTTTTAGAAGCTAAATAGTGGTTTTCTAATAAAAATTTGAAATATTAGTTGGTTTTTTTATATCTATATATATATACTATGTGTACAAATAAAAATTCTCTATTATTATTTTATATTTATTTATTTTTTTTTATGAAATAATAGTACAAACATAATTTTTTCTGTTTTTTTTATCCTACTAAATAATTTTTTGGTATAAAATAGATTACAAATAGATTAAAACTAAATATTTGATTTTATAAATAGCTTTTTTTTCTTACAACATTATTTTGAAAAACAGATTCCAGAAAAGATATACAATAATATTATTAGCCAATATTATTTATAATAATAGCCAAATTTAGTCAGTATTATGCTTTTATTAAAGATGGCTAATAAATAACGAATTATTCATTATTAATAAATAACAAAATTATTTTATCAAGTAATTTCCAATTAATAAATTAATGATTGATGAAACCCATGATGATTGACAAAACCTATAATAAATAAACAAAATCTATAACAAATTAACAAAACCTATAATGAATTGATAAAACCTATGCTGAAATCTAATAAGTTGTATTCATATAAGATAAAGATAATTACTGTGTTTATAAAAATTAACAACAATAGAAAATCACTTTAGATTGCATAACAATATATATATTAAGATATCTAGTATATTTTTATTATCCATCATAATTCAAAAAAGAAGTAGGCTAATGTCAGGTATATCACAAGATTATCTAATATATAATACAGATCTGTCTGAACAAAACAAAGCAAACAACAAAAAAAAAATACAAAAAATATAAAAAATGGCCATTTAAACTGGTCTTGATTTATTAAATAAAAGTTGTAAAAATGTGATTTTACTATATATAAATTCTTTAATCTAAATCTAACCCTAAAATGAATCAATTTTAATTAAAAATTGTAATATATCTGACTTTAGCTATCTACAAAATGAAATTAAAATTTATAAATAAACAAAGTGCATTTTTATCATCTTTTTTTTACACAGATCTGGAATTAAAAATTTTGACTATTCTGGATCAACCCAAAATATGTGTAAAAGAAGAAAAAAAAACCAAAACCTTGTAATAAAATAACATTTTTTTAACCAATTTAAGGCTTAGTGTATCCAAAGAGCATTATATAAAAGCTTGTTGTTTAATTACTAACTAAATTGGCTTGTTAATGTTTTATTAATCATTAGAGGTTTTATAAAGATTTTATCAATTTGTTATAGATTTGTCAATTTGGCATAGGTTTCATTAATTTGTCTTAGATTTCATCTATCATCAGGGGTTTTGTCAATTATCAAGGTTTCATCATGACAAAATCATGATGAACATTTTGTTATTGCAAAAATAATTTCATCAGGCATCATCTTTAGTTCTCATGCAGATTGAATGCATTTTCATTAGTGTGATGTTTTCAAATTGCACATCAATTTTGCGATTATATTATTTTGATTTCCTATTTTGGGAGATGTTTAAAGTGAAGGCAACATATATTTATAACTTTTTAGGGTTAGGGGCATTTTATATTAGAGTTAAATTTGGTTTTAGGTAGTTATACCGGGTGTCCCAAATGTTCCTATACATGGTCCCTTTTTTTTTTAAGTGCTGTATAAATAATCATCATAATCTCTATATATAAGGTCAATTTTTTTAAAAAAAAGAAACTATGTATAGGAACCTTCAGGACACCCAGTTTATAAGCAAATTAGCCATCCCGACACTTTTGATTAACCTACCCGAAGTAGGTTTAGACTGCTGTTTTTTGTATTTTCAGGTTTTTTGGTTTTATTTCTTATTTTGCTTCGCTGGCGATCATCAAAATTCTGTAATTTGATTGGCCGAAGATCACATGATTTACCTCTTCTTTAGACGTCCCCTATTTTTGAAAGTGCAATCCGGTTGCAATCTGATCTAAAAAAAGAAATAGGGCTGAATTATGCTGGCTATGGGTCAAAATTATCCAAGTATACTTTCGAAATTAAACACCCTTTTTTTGTTATATGGGTGCTTGTTGTTGGGATATAATAAACTGGTTTAAACCGGTTTTTATCCTAGTAACTATTTAAAGGGGTGTTTAATTTCGGGTGAATATAGAATGTGGGGTGCTTATTTTCGGGGTGCTTAATTTCGGTATTTTTTTATAATGCTGGTAATAATATGATTTTGTCACATTTCAAATGATCATCATATGCACCATATGCTTTCGAAAAAATAGCTTTCGGGATTTGTTATAATGATGTACAAATATTTGTAGCCTGTATTCGTAAACCTTATCCTATACTTTTTTTTATTATTATACTAGTTATTAAAAAACTAATATTCATGAAAGCGTACCGCTTATTAAATTTGATTGGTTGGATCTAAAAATTTATAATAGCTTGCGTGAATTTTTAATTTCGAATATACAGTAAGGCCAATATTTTTGGTTACATGACTAGATGATAAAATATACATTTGTCACGAAATTATGACTCATATCCATCCATTGCTAGAGATGATATAAGCAGGTATCCGGGAGGAAAAAGGCGAGACGCATTTTTAATAAAAAAATTTGATAGCCAACCGAACGGATCGAATATCAAAAAAAATAAAAATAAAAAACAGATAATATAACAAAAATTATTATAATTATCTGCTGTTATACTGAAAAGAAATTTTGCACTTTAGAAAGTTGCAGTATGAAAAATATATTTAGGCCGTGGCGTTCCGTTTATTTTTGCACTTTTTATTATCATAATTGTAAATACTAATTAACAAAAATGTTAAATAATCTGCTTTTAAAAAAACTAAATATAAATTTTTTTTATTATTCAGATATCAGATATACATAATAATATATAATGAAGAGATGTAAATCCAAAAATTTATATGTGCCAAATGAAAGCCTGGGAGCTAAGTTCTTATGCATTTAATTGTGTAATTAGAAATAATATAATTCTAAGATATGAAAACTTAACATTTCTTACAAATTTTTTTTTCGCTTGAAATCATCCATATGCAGAATACGTATTCCTTGTAGAAAAGCCATAGGTAGTAAATAAGCCAATACTACTGTTATTACGTATCAAAGTACGTAAACTACATATTATAATATATACAGTACAAAAATTACAACCTACAACGTGGCATTTAATATGACTGGTGTTACGGTCTCCGTCAATAATTAAAAATTGCATCTTCACAAACAATCAGTCATAATTACCTCAATATAGCTAAATTATTACTATTGATTTGTACCAGATAAAACCTTTTCAACATTATCATGTCTTTTTACTAATCTAACATGGTATTCTTCAGGCCAAATGGTAATGCCAGTACGTACTTTATCTAAATTAATTGGTAATGGTGATGTATTTTCTATTCTAAAACACCAAAGAAGACGAGAAATTCCTAATAAAAGTTCTCTCTCAGCCTTTTATTAAGATTTATATAAAAGCAATAGGAATTTTATAAATAATTTGTTCAATAAAATCATTATTTTAAAATATTATACTTGCCATATGAATTCCACTGCAAAGCCTTCTTCCTGCTCCAAATCCGAAATGGTCTCTATGCTCATAATTTCCTTTTGCTAAAGTTGCACTACTTTCCGTAAATTCTAAAAATCTTTCAGGTTTAAACTCTTTGGGGTTTTCATATCTTTTCTCATCCATATGAATTCCATATTGATTTAAAATCACAACAGAATTTGCCGGAATATGATATCCATTGTATTCATCATCTTCTTCAGTGCCATGAGGTATACCTAGATATATTGGACCGCAATATCTTTGGCCTTCTTTAATTATAGCACGTATGTAAGGAAGATTTTGTTCATCAGAAACTTCTGGTAGACGAGATTGACCAATTACTCGGTCAAGTTCGTGATGAGCTTTAGATTGAATTTGAGGATTATTAGCTAAAGTAGCAGTAAGCCATGTTAAACTTGCTGAAACTGTGTCCTAAAAATTTTAACTATCAATAATTTTGACCTGCGCAGGAAACAAACCACTTTTTATAATATTTACAGTTCCACCAGCAAGCAACGTATCCATTATATAAATAACGTCTAGCTCATCAAGGATTCCCTC